GAGTACTAGTAGTAGTAGTAGTAGTAGTAGTAGTAGTAGTAGTAAGAGTACTAGTAGTACTAGTAGTAGTAGTAGTAGTAGTAGTAGTAGTAGTAGTAGTAGTAGTAGTAGTAGTAGTAGTAATATAGTAGTAGTAGTAGTAGTAGTAGTAGTAGTAGTAAGTAGTAGTAGTAGTAGTAGTAGTAGTAGTAGTAGTAGTAGTAGTAGTAGTAGTACTAGTACAATACTGGTGGTGGTGGTGGTGGTGGTGGTGGTGGCGGTGGCGCTGGTGCTGGTGGTGGTGGTGGTCGTGGCGGTCGTGGTGGTGGTGGTGTAGTGATAGGTGGTATAGTACTATAGCGGTAGTGGTAGTAGTAGTCGTAGTAGTATATATAGTCCTACTAGCAGCAGCAGCAGCAGCAGTAAATAATAGTGGCCATCGTCGTCGTAGCACTCGTTCTCGTATTCCTATTCGTACTCGTAGTAGAACTAGTCGTAGTAGTAGTAGCAGTAGTAGTAGTAGTAGCAGCAGTAGTAGTAGTAGTAGTAGTGGTAGTAGTAGTAGTAGTAGTAGTAGTAGTAGCAGCACGACTAGTGTATATATATATATATGTGTATATACATATATGTATTTTAGTAGTAGTAGTAGTAGTAGTAGTATTATGGTAGGCAGTACAGGACTCGACTAGGTTCGAAGCCAGATCTCAAGGGTTTTAGCCTAGATGCGCCATGCCAGCAGGTGTCAGGAGGTCAAAGGGGTTCATCATTCCCGGGACCGTTGGCTGCATATTTATGTCAAGTGATGCTGTTGCAAGGCCACCCAGACGAAAGCATTTTGATACCCATGCCCTCCCAGCGAAGAGCTCGATACAGCTGTAAGCCTGCAGCGGATTGCCACCAGTGCAGACTAGGTCTTTAAATACAACTCTTGTAAACATACAACGCTAACGAAATCCAACCCTATAGTCCCTGCGTAGACAACGGAACACTGGCCTCTTTGAATGTGTCCACATTCTCAGAGAAGGCCAGCAGAATTACGGCGGCAACAAGCACCTGGGCCAGTTGGTGGAATCGACTCGATGTTCAGGCTGGCTTCAGACTAGCAGAGCACATGCGTATTGTTTGCGGAAAAGCCAGATGAGAGGAAGCCCCGCACCAAATGCAGCTTAGTGGCTTTAGGGGCCCCGATCCAACAGAGCTTTCGAACAACATTGTCCATGGCTGCAGCTGACACTGCTTTGATCTAATCTGACCATAACATCAAGTGCTTGCAATACATCATGCATCTTCCCTCGACGAAAACGTCAACCCTAAACCCTAAACCCTATAAACCCTAAACCCTAAACCCTATAAACCCTATAAACCCTATAAACCCTAAACCCTAAACCCTAAACCCAGCGATAGAAAGCGAACACATTGAGTGCAAAATCATTCGATCCTGCGGATGTGCAAGTATGATCCCTGTCGCACATGCACACAGCACCCGCTCAACCCTGATAAACTGGCAGGCCGTGCGATCGCCTTGGACATTGTCGACGCCCATCCGGACCCGCCAAGCCATGGCCTGCACCAGCAGCAGACAAAGGCAAGCTAACTTGAAGACCAGGTAATGTGGGTGTGGGCGTTGTCGGGTCTATTTGGGAGTGAGGATAATCTATCCTAGAGAACACATAGGGGTTTGAAGGATGGCTGGTAGCCAGGTTTCAGAATCTTGTGTAGCGAAACAAACACCCCGACAAAGATCAAACAAGCCCCAACCAACAAGAAGCTGAAGAAGCCCAATGTCGTTCTACAGAAGAGCCCTGTAACGTACCGATTCAACTCTTTGCACCCCAACTCGCCGTGGCATCGGAACATCATGTGATGCCTGCACGAATGTGCACTCCCCTAAACAGGATCGTTAATCTGCTGCCGCTGCTGTGTCCCCCCGTTTAAAGCTACATATTTCCTATAGACCCGGAGCGAGGGTGCGCCTTGATCGGGATGGCAATCAGGTATACATGGTACATATATAAACGACATTTACTTGTGTGTACAAAAGACAACTAGAATCTAGAATGCTTTGCACAGCTCTCCAGCAGATGATCCTGTATGGAAGCAGCACGAACCAAAATGAGATGACCACGGAATCATGTGAAACATCATGGGGCGCCATGCTCCAAGAGAAATTGGCTGGCAGCCTCACGGATCCGCTCCTCGATTGTCTCGGCACAGACAGGCAAGGACGTCGTGTCCAAATACACGGTGCAAGCATCGAAAAACTTGTCCTGAAAGAGAACAAACCAAAGGGGTTGGTGATCATAACGGGTTAAGTGTAACTTGTATGTGGGTTACATGGGCTATATTATCTTTTTACATGTCATGTAATTTAGTGGTCTAAAACAATATATTAATATACCCTTTGTTCAAGTAAGTGTATAAAGGTCGAGCCAAAAAACAGTCCTATGAGTGGGTGCATATGTACATGTGACTGATCCAAAGAATACCGGGGTACAGTCTGACTACAACCATATATGCCATGCCACCGTTTACTACGATTTGAGAGCGAAAGACAATCTGGAAACTATGGAATTTTCGAAAACCACAATCCTCGTACTTGCTTGGGTTGTCTAGCTTGCGGTAAAGCTTGTAGCCGAAAGCCTTCCGGATTGTGATCCACTTAAGCTGGCTCCAAACTCCAGCTGGACAAAAGCGGCGAGCGAACGTCTTCTTGAGCATCACGGGGTTGGGCTCATGGATCACATCGTGCGCATCCTCTGGAGGCTCGTCGTCCTCGGGATCCTTGGGATCCGCCTTCTTGGGGATCTTGGCCTTGGCGCTCGGCCGCTTCATCACCTTGGCCTTCTTGGGCTTCGGCTTTGTCACGGGGGTGTCGTAGCGTACCGTCGCATTTGCCTCGCTGGCATTGTCAACAGCATCTGTCCCCGCCTCCTCATCCGTAGCCTTCTGGTTGATCTTGCGGCGCTTCTTGTGCTCTGGCGAACCCCAGATCACAGGCTTAGCCTTGGCCTTGCTGGCACTCTTCCCCGCGAGCTCGGACTCCTTCGATGACTCACCCTCAGGCGTAGGCTTACCCTCGGCCTCGGACTCGTTCGATGACTTTCCCTCAGGCGTAGCCTTATCCTCAGAATTGGCCTTGCTGCCACCTTTGTTCTTCAACTTGTCTGCCTGAATCTTGGCGGCCTTCTCCTCCTTGCGTTGCTTCACACTGGCCTTCAAAGACATCTGGTCACGGCGAGTAACCTCGATACCATAATTCAGTATAAGACCCCATCTTCTTATCGTGTTGAACTGATGAGATAGTGTTTACAAAGCCCAGCAAACCCCAGTATTCTTAAACTTACTGTTCGGATGCACGACCACAGGCAAGTTGGATGGCTTCTTGTCAGCGTCGTTGTCCAGAAGCTTTTGCTCCGGCTCAGGGCTGGAGGCCAAGTCCAATGACCCAGTCGAAGCACGATGCTTCTCAGCAATGCCGTCCATCATTTGCTCATCTGTCATCTGAGTCTCGACATTGTCCAGGCAAGCCTGTCCTCCAGATGAAGAGCTGGATCCCTCTGAGAGCCCCAATATGTTGCACAAACTCTTGCCATCATCACCTGCCAAATTCATCCAATAGTTATGTTTGGGGCACATGTACTCCGAACACTCTTGCTACGAGCACCAACTCACAAAGACACCCAATGTAGCAAAACTACAGAAATGTTCTTTGGATAGATAGCGATTATAACCGAATGCAGCCACCTGTTGCGGCCAGAGCTGTTGCGGCATCCTTGAGCTTCTGGGCCCTGCCAGTACAAAGCAGCGAAAACCCGCGCAAACAATGAAACCCACCCCTTGGCTTTAAACTTACATTCAATCCTGCCTCTGGCTCTGCAGGGCCTTCAATCTTGCAAGCTCGTCCGAAGCCTTCTTCAGGTCCCCCTCATCCCCAAACACGTGCATCTTGCGAAGCTTCTTGGGCCTCTCCGGTGACACTGGCTCGACCTTCATGGGGGACTCAAACACTTCGACGACCTCCGCTGACTTAGCGCTGCGAGCTGCGGCTGCCTCATCTGTTGGAGACGGAAACTCGGCCAACATCTCCGCCAAGGGATCACTCTCAGGCTCCACAGACTCCGCCACGGCTGCAGCTGCCTCATCTGTCGGTGAAGGAAACTCGGCCAACATGTCCGCCAAGGGATCATCCTCGGGCTCCGGCTCCACAGCTTTGACCATGGCCGCTGCAGATGGAGACTCCGAGCCAGATGCCAAACCAAGATCCCGGTCCAGCTCATCAAGCTGCTCACCCGAGAGGTCCGCAGCTTCCCTGAGAGCTCCGGAGGGATCATCTCCCAAGTCATCGTCATCCTCTTCGTCGTCATCCTCAAGGTCGACAGAGTCGTCCTGGCGGTGTAGGATGATCTGTACGGCTTATTGAAATATGAATGCTTGGAATTGTATTGC